CGGAGTGTGAATACATCTGCTCTCCAAAAGGCATTTCGAAAGCGGATCTTGGCGCGATTTGGCACGCCAAAGGTGCTCATTACAGACAATGGCATCCAATTCACCAGTCAGGCGTTTAAGGTGTTCCTGGAGGAGCTTGGTGTGCGTCACTAGCTAACGGCACCATACACGCCTCAGGAGAATCCCACCAAGAGGGTCAACAGAACGGTGAAGACAATGATTGCGCAGTTTGCTGGAAGTGACCAGAGATGTTGGGATGATGCATTGCCGGAGTTAACGTTGGCGGTCAACAGCAGCGTATAAGCATCTATAGGGTATACGGCAGCCTTCATTACGCAAGGGCGAGAGCCAAGGTTGCCCAAATCTTTGTTTGACGCGCAAACCATCGGCACAGGGCGGCGCAGAGTTCAGTGGAGAGAGCCGGCAGCAGGCGGCAGTGGAAACCGGTCGTAGCGGACAAGGTGTGGGCAAAACAACGCCACTTGTTATAGCGGGCCATATATAGTGGCCAGTTTCGTGTCCCCAGTCATCTGCCGGATCAGGTCGGAGGCGGATAAGCGGACCAGGACGGCTCATGTGGCGGATCTCAAGCCGTGGAGAGGAGACACGGGTTATTGCTCACCTTTTTCTCTCTTTTTTCTCGAAAAAAAAGGCAGTGAATACACAGCAAAGTGTATTGCTTCTCACATAAGCATAGAAAAACGAAGCAGAATAAAGAACAGCCAAATTTTGCTCAAAGTGCACAATTTTGTCGACGTAGCATATCTGTGACTGAAAAATTACAGTTGCCATCGGCAAATTAACTGTATATGGGTGCACAAAAGCAATTTGTTCAAACTGCGCGCGCACGACAGCAATCAGTGTACAGTAGTGCGCTTAAAGCTTAGCTGCCACTGCATGCGCAATGCACTAAATACAACAACAAGCAGTGCATGCGCAAGCCGCACCCACCTACAGTGCTTGTGCACTCAGCAGCAACAACGCGCGCCACCGGTATTATGCATTTTTCTAACGAAAGCGAATAGCGGAAAAACAACAACAAACCGAATACATTCCAGGCGAAAGAATTGCTGCACACGCATACACAGCGAAGCGAGAGCAAGCGAGAGTAGGCAAGGGTCAAGGGCCTACGTCGGCTGCTCAGCGATCGTTAGTGCACGAAGCGGCACGAAGGTGTCAAAGCGAGCGACATATAAAACAGCCACAACAAAGAGATACAACAACAATGTATCGCAGCAGAAGAGCTTGCATTTGAATGTTCGGCCACCGAAGGGCTGTGTATGCATGCGTCGATGACACTGTGAAAACGGTATCAGGGCGATACCGTATCCTGCCTCGAATTCAGCCATATGGCAGAGAAGGCTAAAGTGGGCTGAACGGAGGACACAGGACCCGTTATATGCTGCCGCCTACGTAGCCGGCGGCGCGGCAGCAGAGGGTATAAATGGGCATGTGGGCATCGGGCCGGGATTCTTGTGGATGAGTTACCAGAGTGGACCGACGGCGCTCGAGTGCAGTGTGTCGAGTGAAGTGTTCCAAGTGAAGACGAAGAGCATACAGCCATATATTTGGGTTGTCTGTCGGGAGATCGGGTCACCATCGATGCCTGCCACGTGACGAATCCAACCGGATGTCCGTGCTTGGGCGTAGGCGCGTTTTGCTGGCCGATGCTCGCGCACTGGCCAGCGACTTTGCTGGAGCTGTGCGCGAAAAAGCAGTACATGAAATGACTGCAGAGCCCCACCAGAGCATCTTTGAGGGTTGAAAGAGCAAGTAAAACCAGCAGAGAGACGTCTCCAGCGGCGAGGGACAGCATGCGCCAAATGGATGAAATGGCCATTGCCGCGCGCACGTGCTCCAATGCCGCCGGGGGCTGCAAAACCGACAGTCGAGTTTTGCAGAGGCGCCCGGCGTGGGCATTGGCAGCGGCAGGCCATCAGGTCAAGGGGCACTGAGAAGAAGATGCCCAGCCTGAAAAACAATATTTCTGTTTAATTTTATGGGAACTTAGAAAAATATTAACTCCATTCACTTACCGGCAGAGTACAGCATTGCCAGCGGTAGGTAACAATGCAGCTGATGGCGTTAACAGAGAGTTAACAGCAGCGATCAGCGCAAAATGGAGCATCGAGGGATGGAGTGACGCAAAACGGAGTAACGCAGCCAAGGCGGGCGTCAAAGTTCAAACACGATGGTCTGGTGTTTTCCCGAAGAAAGAGGGGTGTGATGAGCAATATTGGTATGCACGTATCAATGTATATGCTCGTACATAGTTGCTGTGCGTTCATATGCAGATACGTACATATACATGTTGCTCCCCACAGCGACGCGAGTACTCTCCGACTATAGTCGGCCTCTTCCGCTCCTACAGATTCAGCAATGGGCTCGCGTCGCATGCACGACCATCATCGAGGACCGTTAGCCGAGGTGTCGTTCGGGCCGGGTGATAGTAGTTTACACTTTCACTCGCAGGGCAGCAACGGTACTTCGGCCAATGGGAAGCTGCCACGCAATTTGGCGGGAAAGTGGCGTCACCCAGATCACGCCACTTTACCGTTTTTACCGCTCCAGAGCCGAACAGGCCCTGTTACCACCCGAAGCAGGGCCTGCGAGTGGGCTATAAAAGTCCACCGGCAGCTCCATACGAGGAGTTAAAAAAAGTGATTAGTGATTAGTGAAAGTCAGAGTGACAAGAGTGCCGAAGTAAAACTAGTACAAGTCAACGCGACTGGTAAAACAGCATTTCAAAGGACTCCCAGGACATCATTGGAACAGTAAGGACATCCAGTGGGAATTCTTGCGACGACTAAAGCGGCAACCAGGATCGTCAGCGGCACCAACAAGGACATTGGTGCAGACCAGCAGCTTAAGCGAGGCCTGCATATCTGAGTAGGTTCACGTAGCCGTGCGTAAGAGAAGTGTTGTGAGTGAAAAGAAGCTAATGTTTTGCTGTGAGCGAGTGGAATAGTAGGAGAGGTCTGTATAGCCGAGCGAACCGCCGGAATTCACAGATCCAGATCCTGGCGTTTTCCGAATC